GCTATTTGTTTGTAATATTTACACACATTTGGCTTAGTTAAATGGCATGCTCTCATCTTTTGACTTATTACAGGGTTTATACATAAATGAGTAACTCTTATTTAATGCTTTTTAATGCTCTTAGAAACAATCTTAATGCCATCAACAAGTACCCATGTCTTATGTATGTATATATATATACATATATACATACACGGCAAAATCCTTCATGATCTACAGCATGGACAGGCTGCCATGTCCCGAGTTCCTCGTTTTCCCGCCACTTTGGTTCAAATTTGCATTTTCTCCATTCTCTAGCCTTTTCTCCGCCTCAAGCTTCTTTTCCAAAGCATTTTAATGCCACGGTAATCAAATATAATGACTTTTAATGCCAATTAAGGCCTTAATTTAAAAAAAAATAATTTAATGACTTTTAATGATTTTTAATGACCCACAGAAACCCTGTATTAGATTTATACCCATGGAAAACAGGAAGTGCTAATTAAGGCAAATAAAAAAAAATAAAATAAAAAAAAAACATCTACTTTTAATAAAGAAAATACACTTTGATGATACATTTTATGACAACCAATAAGTGATAAGTGATAACTGATTTTTTTTACAGACAATTCTTGATGAGCTTATTTCTTTCAATGCTTTGTACATAAGGTATCTGTGGCACGTCGAAACCTCAGAGAGCAAAATAAACATTCTCGCAAATATCTTAAACTACTTATGCGAAAAAAAAACCTGCAGCTTCGCGGTGAGAAAATAGCTCCATGGGCGCGCCCAGGATCTCACCAGTAGCTGCGCACATGCACAAGTTTCTATGCGGCGCCCTCGCTAGTGAACGGCTGCGCTATCGAAGGTGCCTCTGCACAGGAAGAAGACTTTTAATGTCCAACTTTATCTTATAAGTGAAGACGATGGTTGAAAGTTGAATAATGGTGGAAGTTTCTGCAACATGGGTAAAGTGGAATTCCCTCAGATTTTTTTCCGTGATGTTTCATGCGCAAAAGTAGTTTAATATACTTTCAATTACCGGTATGTTTATTTTGTTTCTGGAGGTTTTGACATAAAAGTGGCGCTATGCAGAGTGCCAGAAGGGAGCTGTAGGAACAGAAACAAAAGCTGCATTTTAAACATTTCTGACACAATAAAGATGACTCCACTACATACTTCCTGTAAGCACATTTGACGTTGTAGCCAGCTGCTGAGTTGAGCACAGGGATGCCCAGATCCTGGTAGACCTGCTTCCAAACAGAGCCGCTTTCGATCTGTTCAAAGACCAACAAAAAAGAAAAAAAGACAAGGGCAGATTTGATCATTCACAGATAAATATAACAAACATGGCTCTGCTGTTTCCTGACGAGCTTAAAGGGACACTGACGTTGTCAAAGCCTCCCAGTTTGTGGACCAGTCTGTAGAGCTTGAAAAGGTTCAGGTTCCTGTAGCCCAGAACAGGCCTCTTGTTGATGGGCGTTCCTACAGATGATAAACATGCAAAAGTTTGAGGTGTTTCCACATGAACCCTGGTAAGAGCCATAAGAAGTAAACTCTGTAAACATTAGTTTGATGCATCCTGCGCTCACCTCGGTCCTCCATGAACTTGTAAAGCTGCTGCAGAAAGTTCTCCCTCTCCTCTGGGAAAGGTTCCACTTCCTCCTGCAGACAGGAAACAACAGAACAGATGAGGACTGTTTTTCACTTGGAGGATGCAGAGACGAGAGGTGGTGAGCAGTGCCGCCTCTCACCTCCTCCTCTTCCCCGCTGCCGTCTTCCTCCTGCTCGTCCTCCTCATCCTCGTCCTCCTCCTCGCTGCTGGAGCTCTCCTCTTTCACTTCCGTCTTCCAGCAGCTGGGTACAACCTGTTTCTGCCGGAACTCCAACGCTGCGTCCAAAGCTGACAGAAACACACACAAAAAACATAAATATTGTAAAGTTTTAAAATGAGAAATTTTGATCTAAACGAGCAAATTTCAATCTATGGATAAACAATATGTGCAGCGGCTCAGAGCAGCAGGAGCCACCGTGTTACAGGCGGGCCTCGCCAACTCAGCAGATGCTCGTTTCAGGCTTTGTATAGTTGAACACATCACAGTTGTGAGTCAACCACCTGTGAATAGCCCAGCTGAGATAATGCAAAGCTGTTTCCTGGATGTAATTAGACTAAGAGTGGAGCAGCGAAAAGGAAAATAAATGGGGGCGCTGCATGGAAACCTTGGTGAGGACTTCAAATAGAAATATATCCAACAGGGACGGAAGCTCTCAATCGCTGCCTTTTCCCAGAACAAAAAAAAAAAAATTCAATTTCTACAACCCGCCTCAAAGCAGCCCACTTTTGTTTTTTCAGGTAAATGTGCCAACAAACAAAGAAAGCCCACCAGATGTCTGGAATAAGAACATTATGTGCACCAGATCTCTTTCCTAGAACGATACCTGGTTTGACGCCTGCGTCGGCTTTCGGAGGATTCTCGCTGCTCAGCTCGTTGACGTCCTTCCGGAGCACCATGTAGCTGCAAAACAGTTACAGAAATTAAAACGTGTGTGAATTATGAATACTTTAACAGAATGCCTTTACAGCCTTGTTTTCCAGCAACATCTATACAGCATCTGGGCAGAGTGCTGCTAATAGCCACTAGAGACACGGTTTACTTTGGTTTCTGTAAGCAACTGAGCAGACAGGGTTCCTACAGCTTAAGGCAAGTTAAATTCAAGACTTTTTAAGACTTTTTAATGCCACTTGAAATATAAATTTAAGATCAAATTCACAAGAAACACAAGAAAAACCTGCTTGCAACAACTTAACCCAAAGGTTTATTTTAACTAGTGCTGTCAAACTATTAAAAATTTTAATCGCGATTAATCGTATATTATCAACAGTTAACTCGCGATTAATCGCATATTTTATTTTTTTATTTTATTTGGCCATTTAAAAAAGCAATTATGCAAAAATGTAAAAAACACATGCTTATACAAAAAGTTTATTTTTTTTTTATTATCATCATTTTTCAAGAACTTTTAAGAAACTAGAATAAAAATATCCTGGTTTAAATTCTACATTTTAAATTAGGCGTTGTGCTTCCATCAAAACTTTACAAAACTACAGAACAGTAAACAGTACTTCAAAGTACTCTATAAGCTTAAGTTTTTTCTCAAACATAGGACAAAAATAAAGATGTACTGTTAAAATTAAGTGCACATTCCGTTATGAAATACAGATTTAATTCAAATGAAATTAAGTTACTCACAAAATAATAAATAAATCAAACGAAATTACAATAACAGGGCTTTGCAGGCATCTCAGTAACATAACATTTTACATGTAGAACATTTTCAAAATGCTTTAATATTCCTTGCAGAGACAAGGGTGGAACAAAACTGAGAAATACCGGCTGTTTCTCGGTAACTCCATTTTGAGGCTTTGTGTTTCGTGCTTCGCATGTGCGACTCCACTGCCTTAATTCCCATCGTTCCGAGCTTGAATCGCTTCTTGCACAAAATACACTGTGCCTCATGTATGTTCCCTGGTTTTAGCCATGGAGAAAACTCTTGGCTGGAGCCAATATTGGTTACATTTACACTTGCTCATATTTTCCCGACAAAAAGTTAATGGCGCATCTCCCAAATGTCCCGGCCGCAACAACGCTTTTATTGGTTCCGCTATCGGGACGGAACCAATAATGGCGAGCTGTTTTTTTTTTTTTTTGTATAAAAAAAAAGGTAAATTTTAATGTTATATTTAGATTACAAAAATAAATCATAATAAAAATAATCCTATGTATGAGGTTTTAAAAATTAATACCATTTTAATACCAATTAATGCCTTGGTTTTATTTTGAAGAATTCAATGCCTTTTAAGACTTTTTAAGACCCGCGGGAACCCTGTCAGATCCGGTGTACATGCCAGTGAAGTTACGCTACATGATTGGCTGAACGTTGCCACATGATGCAAAACATTGTGGTTGCCCAGACAACGATAATAACATCACCCAGCATTAGTGTGCCTAATGTGTCTAATGACCAATCAAGTTTTACCTGATCGATAACAAAGCTGAAAAAAAATCTGTTTATGGTGAAAGAATTAACTGTTAGCTTATTATATATAGGCGGAGAGCTGGGTAGCGCTGTGGCTAGCTGTGCTCACTAGCTAACAGGTTAGCCTCTTTTAGCTCAGTCAGTTAGCCATATTAAGCTACACTACTTTTAAATCTGTGTCAACAACAACCGTTCGTTTTCTTCAAGTAGAAAAACGGTTTTATTTGTCTAAAATCTCTACAAAGGTCATTTTTTAAGATGTCTTATTTGTCCTCCCCTGCCCTCAGATCTGAATAAGCTGAGACTTTTTTGTCACCTTGTTAAATGGCAGGGCTCAGTCTTTCCTTCAAGGCTGACTATGATTGTTTTCTACCTTCGGCTACTTTAGATGGCCAATGAAACGTAAAATAACAGCAAGTAAGTGTTATAGTGTGTTGAGACTCCCAAAGAGATTTGAGCCTTAAGAAACAGGTGCAATTAAGTTTTTCCGAGTGGAGTTGCCATATATTGACGTCATAAGAAAGGGCAATGACCCGAGCAGATCTGGTACCTGCACCAGTCCTAAAGACACGGCAACATTAGGGGTGGGTATTGGCAAAGAAGTCATGATTCGATTCAAATCACGATTCACATGCCACAATCCGATTCTATCACGATGCATCATGATACTTGAAATATTGCGATGCATCGATGCATCATTTGTTCATTTTTTAAAATTAAGAATCGATACTTAGCATCAAGAATCGATGCAGTAGATCACAAAAATTAGAATCGCGATGCATCGTCATGACGATTATTTTGCACACCCCTAGCCAACATGAGGAGAGAAGGTGCTCTGATGTGGACTATGTGCAACGTGATCGGTGGTGGAAAACTAACTCTCCATATCAATGTGGACACAGCATCCCCATTCAGAAGCACGGTAGTGGAGGTAGAGCTGCAGTGGAAAGTTTAGTTTTTTTCTCCAGGGAAGGTGGTTGGAGTTGATGGACAGATAGATGAAGAAAATATCCAGCAGAAGTCGACCTCTAGACGATGAGCAAAGCTGGTAGAGACGTATTCCACACAAAAAACTATTGTAAGGCTCTTTAATGACTTGTTTGAACGTTTCTGGCAGAGGCAGCATGGTCCTTCGTTAAGATTTCAGGGAATCAAAGATTTTATTAAGCCATGCACTCCAACAAGGTTTCCGTGGCTTTAAGAGGGGAAACAGGCCCTCAGCATCACGTATCCTTCACCTTACTTAATTGTGAATTTTTCTCCAGTGATTCTCACTAAACTTACCTGAAGTGTTTTTGGGTAAAAAGGGATTTTTGACCTATCCGACAAAACTAGTTTCAACTTACATTTCCACCAAAAGGATGGAAAAAGGTATTTTTTCCTTGCCTAGGTCCAAGCCAACAGGTTTCAGCATCAAAGCTGAAAGGTAGAAAAATAAAAAGCTAATAAGACTCTAAAAAAGTGCAAGAGTTAGAGCACGAGCATTAAAGAGAGACTTCAGGGCTGAAGACCCGACCCATCGACCTTTGCTACATATCTCCCCACTCTCTCCATCCTGTTTCCTGTCAGACCACTTTTAAAATAAATGCCACTAGCTATGGTTCCAATGTGATAAAGTTAAAGAGGTGTGAATACTTTAAGAAACTGCACAGTAAAACATAGACTGATAGACCTTTGTGACAAATAGTCCTTTTAAGATATTGTACCAAGTAATAACCGGTTATTACAGCCATAATTTCATAGCGAATCAAGATGACCACAGGTATCTAAAGTGCAGGTTAGGATATTTGGAGCTCTTCAGAGTTTGATGAAACTGCCTGCAGAGTTAGGAGGCCCAGAAAGACCACAATAATAACTCAAAATCTTTCTAACATTTCCTTCCTGTAATTCTTAATGACCGATCCAGCTCAGTGAATCCAAAACTTCTGGAGGGATTTCAATCTTCCAGCACTGCTTTCAGTGAGTTATTACTTGCTGGAGGAGTTGTGTGATTTCACAACGCTCACGTCGACGCACTAAAAATGGATCCGTTAGATCCCATAGACTCCTGGCTAGGTCTGACTCATTCCCTGTTCCTTTGATATGAAGCTATTTTTTTAATGTACTCGCACATGTCAAGACAAACTGCAACTGAAAAGACATTTAGCCCTGGACCACAAATGTCAACCTCAGAGATGGAAAATCAATGGATAAGTCAGCAGCAATCATCTCACAGGCACCATCTGTACAAACCGTCTTTCATTCCCACTTTTCAGAACCACTGCTTGACCTAAATATTGGTTTAAATTGGGTACTAGTATCGAATGTTTACAGTTGTATTTTTATTCGAAATTTCTAAGCTGGAAGAATCAAAACAAATCATCATGCATACTTAATGATGAAGCAAGAACTGAATCCATGTTCTTTTAGAAACAGATCAGGTGAAGGGCTGCTGATAAATAACACTGAAAATCTCCTAAGCAGTAATATAGATTTATCCTCCTTCTGAAACAGCCACTCAAAATACAGAGTGATGACTTAAACAAGTGAAATCAGTGAGGTGAGATGCTATGAGGTGCTTAATTAGGATGGGACTGCTTGGAGATGTAGCAGACTTCCAGCTCTTGTCTCATTTATCATTGCCCATCTTATCACCAAACTACTGGCCACAACACAAGTGATAAGACTTCCTGTGCTGCAGATGTAGATTAAGGACGGCTCTGATGACTTTTGCAGCGGCATCTATTAAAGAACGCGTCAAGGTTGTCGTGTTAACAGCTGAACGAGTTGCTTTTGGAAGAGAAGACAAATACTGACTGAATGTAGCAGTTTGTCTGTAGCCACACACACACACACACATATAGAGACTGCAATGATGAACTTTTGGCTCAGAGGAAGCACATGACACAACTTCTCTATCCATCTTTACTACGGGCAACATGTTTCTGTGTGCATCAGGGCTGGATGTAGGCTGCAGGGAAGCTGCAATATGTCACCTCAGCAGTAACTCCCAGCCTTTGGAAAAGATTATTACAAAGCAGGGCAGAAAAAGAAAACACTTGGCCTCACAGCAAAGATAATAGCTTTTATTCTTTTGACTCTGAAAAATATATATTTTCCCTTCAACTAATTTTTTTATTATTTATGATTATATAGACAGAAAAAAACTGATTAATTTCAATTTGATTAACCTATTATTTTTCAGACTGAACANAAACACGCCCCATAATCACAGCTCTATGGAGCAGTATCAGACTCATATTCTGACTAGAATTGAGTAGGACTACGTCAGGCTAGAGAGAAGGTGCTCTGATGTGGACAATGTGGACACAGCATCCCCATTCAGAAGCACGGTAGTGGAGGTAGAACTGCAGTGGAAAGTTTTGTTTTTTTCTCCAGGGAAGGTGGTTGGAGTTGATGGACAGATAGATGAAGAAAATATCCAGCAGAAGTCGACCTCTAGACGATGAGCAAAGCTGGTAGAGACGTATTCCACACAAAAAACTATTGTAAGGCTCTTTAATGACTTGTTTGAACGTTTCTGGCAGAGGCAGCATGGTCCTTCGTTAAGATTTCAGGGAATCAAAGATTTTATTAAGCCATGCACTCCAACAAGGTTTCCGTGGCTTTAAGAGGGGAAACAGGCCCTCAGCATCACGTATCCTTCACCTTACTTAATTGTGAATTTTTCTCCAGTGATTCTCACTAAACTTACCTGAAGTGTTTTTGGGTAAAAGGGGATTTTTGACCAAAAAAGGTTCTATCCGACAAAACTAGTTCCAACTTACATTTCCACCAAAAGGATGGAAAAAGGTATTTTTTCCTTGCCTAGGTCCAAGCCAACAGGTTTCAGCATCAAAGCTGAAAGGTAGAAAAATAAAAAGCTAATAAGACTCTAAAAAAGTGCAAGAGTTAGAGCACGAGCATTAAAGAGAGACTTCAGGGCTGAAGACCCGACCCATCGACCTTTGCTACATATCTCCCCACTCTCTCCATCCTGTTTCCTGTCAGACCACTTTTAAAATAAATGCCACTAGCTATGGTTCCAATGTGATAAAGTTAAAGAGGTGTGAATACTTTAAGAAACTGCACAGTAAAACATAGACTGATAGACCTTTGTGACAAATAGTCCTTTTAAGATATTGTACCAAGTAATAACCGGTTATTACAGCCATAATTTCATAGCGAATCAAGATGACCACAGGTATCTAAAGTGCAGGTTAGGATATTTGGAGCTCTTCAGAGTTTGATGAAACTGCCTGCAGAGTTAGGAGGCCCAGAAAGACCACAATAATAACTCAAAATCTTTCTAACATTTCCTTCCTGTAATTCTTAATGACCGATCCAGCTCAGTGAATCCAAAACTTCTGGAGGGATTTCAATCTTCCAGCACTGCTTTCAGTGAGTTATTACTTGCTGGAGGAGTTGTGTGATTTCACAACGCTCACGTCGACGCACTAAAAATGGATCCGTTAGATCCCATAGACTCCTGGCTAGGTCTGACTCATTCCCTGTTCCTTTGATATGAAGCTATTTTTTTAATGTACTCGCACATGTCAAGACAAACTGCAACTGAAAAGACATTTAGCCCTGGACCACAAATGTCAACCTCAGAGATGGAAAATCAATGGATAAGTCAGCAGCAATCATCTCACAGGCACCATCTGTACAAACCGTCTTTCATTCCCACTTTTCAGAACCACTGCTTGACCTAAATATTGGTTTAAATTGGGTACTAGTATCGAATGTTTACAGTTGTATTTTTATTCGAAATTTCTAAGCTGGAAGAATCAAAACAAATCATCATGCATACTTAATGATGAAGCAAGAACTGAATCCATGTTCTTTTAGAAACAGATCAGGTGAAGGGCTGCTGATAAATAACACTGAAAATCTCCTAAGCAGTAATATAGATTTATCCTCCTTCTGAAACAGCCACTCAAAATACAGAGTGATGACTTAAACAAGTGAAATCAGTGAGGTGAGATGCTATGAGGTGCTTAATTAGGATGGGACTGCTTGGAGATGTAGCAGACTTCCAGCTCTTGTCTCATTTATCATTGCCCATCCTATCACCAAACTACTGGCCACAACACAAGTGATAAGACTTCCTGTGCTGCAGATGTAGATTAAGGACGGCTCTGATGACTTTTGCAGCGGCATCTATTAAAGAACGCGTCAAGGTTGTCGTGTTAACAGCTGAACGAGTTGCTTTTGGAAGAGAAGACAAATACTGACTGAATGTAGCAGTTTGTCTGTAGCCACACACACACACACACATATAGAGACTGCAATGATGAACTTTTGGCTCAGAGGAAGCACATGACACAACTTCTCTATCCATCTTTACTACGGGCAACATGTTTCTGTGTGCATCAGGGCTGGATGTAGGCTGCAGGGAAGCTGCAATATGTCACCTCAGCAGTAACTCCCAGCCTTTGGAAAAGATTATTACAAAGCAGGGCAGAAAAAGAAAACACTTGGCCTCACAGCAAAGATAATAGCTTTTATTCTTTTGACTCTGAAAAATATATATTTTCCCTTCAACTAATTTTTTTATTATTTATGATTATATAGACAGAAAAAAACTGATTAATTTCAATTTGATTAACCTATTATTTTTCAGACTGAACAGGCATCCATCCATTTTCCGTCACTCTTTATCTCTGCTGGGGTTGCGAGGGGTGCTGGTGCCTATCTCCAGCCCGTTTACAGGCGAGAGGCGTGGTAAACCCTGGACAGGTCGCCAGTCCATCACAGGGCAACACAGAGACAAACAACCATTCACACACACACTCACACCTAAGGAGAATTTAGAGAAGCCAATTAACCTAACAGTCATGTTTTTGGATTGTGGGAGGAAGCTGGAGCACCCGGAGAGAACCCACGTATGCACAGGGAGAACATGCAAACTCCATACAGAAAGACCCTGGGCCGGGATTCGAACCCGGAACCATCTTTCTGCAAGGCAGCAGTGCTACCTACAGCTCCACTGTGCAGCCTCGTCCTCCGATCATCATAGACAATTCATCTCCAGTACAGAACATGGGGATGGTAGCATTATGCTGTGGGAATCATCTTTAGAGTCAGAGTCAAAGGAAAGATGGAAGAAAGCTTCCTGGAGGGGAAGCGAAACGTCTTCAAATCTTGGAAACCAAGTCCAGTGGATTGTTTTTTTTTACTTTTACAGAACAAACCTCATAAGATGTCCCATCATAATTGGGAAAGTCTGATATCTGAAATGTGTGGAGTGCAATTGTAGTAAAACTCATTGTACCGCATGGCCAATGGGGAATCTGGGGCAAGACAATAATGCAGACTCAGAGGCTCCATCGAATCTGACTGATTTTGACCTATTTTCAGGAGCAATTCTCTCTCTAGTCAGTTACTTAATGACCCACATATGGTAGGATGTAAACCATTCCAACCATAAAACATGGTAGTGGCAGGATCATGCTTACCGGGGATGATTTCCTTCAGTAGAAACAAAGAAGCAGGTCAGAGTGGATGAAATAAGGGATTTTAAAGATGTTCTTCATCCAGACTGACTGAATTTGTGCCAAACATCAAGTAACTCAAGCTCAGTCTATCTAGATGGACGTATAATAGGCGGGTAACAAAGGTGTTTGTCTCACATTTTTACTTGGAGAAATAACTAACAATATTTAAAAAAAAAATTCCTTCCGCTCCACAATTATATCCTATTATCTATTTAAAGTAATAACTAGTTACACATTTCGGTTTGCTGTTATTATGATAAATGTGCTAAAGTTAAAGGAGCATGAATGCTTCCAGAGATCATTTAGGTTCAGTGAGTTCATCTCATTTAAATGCTAACTATAGGTATTATCTCCACTAGGAGTCACAAACAACAGGCTCCGTGCAAAAGATGGTGAAGGTTTATTGTTCACACTCACAATTTGCCATCCTTGAAGGACCGGACGAAGACGTTGTCCTTCTTCACGGTCATGTCTTCATGGCAGTCTGGGGAGATGACCTTGTTGTGCAAAGAAAAAGAAGAAATAGACAAAAAGTCAGATGAGATTCAAGAGGAAAAGGAGCTGAAGTGTTTACAGAGCTAAAATCAATTTTCTGTATGAAAGCAAAAAGCTAAACAAAAACAAAAAAAAGAGCTGATAAGTGTTTGAGGAGTAAGCAGCTTATAGCAGTGTGTGTTACTGCTGGAAGGAGCCGAGAAGCAAAACCATGAGAGGAGGCAGCCCTGGTGTTATGATCCCCACTAACTCTCTGCCTGCCGCCTCCTGGACTCTGTAGCAGAAACATGCTTGCATGCTGAACGCCTCGACCTAAACACAGTGACTTACATGCTGCACTGTCAGGGTGAACACTTATGCATGACCTTTCCCCCTTTTACAATCCAAGTCAGGACGAATAAAAACCTTTAGCTGCAGCCATGGATCATCTGCGGCATGACACATGTAGCAGCACAGGGGGAACACCGATAAGCTGCTGTGTAATGCTCTTCTCTATTCAGTCACAAGGAGGCAGCATGGAGCCCATCCAACAACAACAAATCCAGGAGGAGGGGTTGTGCTGAGCACAGTTAAAAGGACAGCTTTCCCCACCCTCTGCCATTCTCCCACTTCTAGTGGTAGCACTTATACAAACAACAAAGAGCAGTTCCCATATCAGTGTGTTCTAACACAGGCTGAGTTTATAAATGGATCTGAAGACATGGGCTGGAAACTACTGACCTGATTGTGCTTCACTGCTGCTCAGATAAGCTCTAATTCCTAGAGAAACCGTAGGAAAACATTCCCCCTACGCGGGGAAATTAGCTCAAAACATGCATGTTGTGGCAATTCAAGGCAACTGAGCTCCAAAGCAATCACATAATCCTGCTGAGTGTTTGTGTTACATAAGCAGGCATTTTGATGAAATGGCACAAAGCTGTGGCTACGATGTTAGATCAGCAGCTGTGGTCTTTTTTTTTTTTTTTTCTTTTGCTAAGATGCGGCACCAGGCAGCTGGGAGAGAAAGGTGTGAACTCACCAGAGCGGGATACCACGTGCTCTTCTTCTTGTCAGCGGTGACTGCCCCCTCCACACAGACCACCTTACCGAATAGATCCTCGTTCTGCCGCTGGTCGCTCTCCTCTTCTTCACTGGAGGAGGAGGACAACTCCTCCTCTTGACTGTGGGAGGAAATAACAATTTAGAGGATGGAGGGAGCAGGTTAATGCATTTTAACACTAAACTTAGGTCATCCAAACTTCTTAAGCTGGAGCAAGATAACTTTATCTGTTCCTTACAGAGTTTCTCCGTTTTTTATTCCTTGCTGCAAAATGGCTCAAGCTAATTTAGAATCAATGGAGAACATTTAACATGAACAAATTTCTAGTCTTGCTAAAGATTCTCTGTTAGATTTAGGTCTGGACTTTGACTAGGCCACAACTAAAACATATAAACAGAGCCGCCTTATTCTTCTTGCACTTCGCTCCACCCTTTCTGCTGAACGCCCTCATCTCTGCTGCAGAAAGCTATTCCAACAGCTACCACCACCATCTTTCTGGTTGTAGTTTTTCACTTAAAATCACAAGGAGTGGAATTTGTTACATTTTCACCAATACGAAACATTTTTCAAAATGCTTTTCCATCAATAGCTTGTTTCAAACTGCAAACAGGAATCAGTGGGACTCCTCTGTATTTACAAAATATTAAAACTGCTAATGAATGAATGCTACTTCCTTAGAAAACGGTTAGCTAATCTGAATTTTCTCTGTTAAGTGCTTCAAGATGACATTTTGTGAATTGTATATG